GATGAGTATGAGGCCATAAATATATACAATATCAATGATAAATATATAGTGCATATATAGAGAAAAACATGCACATGTAGGTTATTTGAGATGAATGATGTACCATATTCATATGCTATAGTCGTTTATGTAACTAAAAAGTGGAATTTTGCTAATTATGTTGTCCATTGATATTCTAAGATCATGTTTCTTATCTACATACCAAAAGTCAATTGAGCCAACAAATGGTAAAAGAATATTGGCCTAAGACATCAAAACTAGCGATATCGCATCCAAAGATAGTGAAACAACTCGAAAGGAAAAAGAAGAAGAGACGTTTAAAATCATAAGAATAATATAGTAGAACTAAAATGTCAAGAAGAGGAAAGAGGATGACTTATAAAATGTATTTCAAAAAAGGACACAATAAGTTTACATGTCTTAAGAATCCAAAAAATGAAAAGGTTAGTATTTTTAATTATAAAATCTGTTTATGTTTGTGTATTTATGTATTTATTTTTTTGTTTACATTTATCACTCTCATGTGAAGGTTGATTATGGTGATACCGAACCAATTGGACTAGCTAATTTTGAAGTTGAGCAATGTCCAATTCAACCTATTTCGGACATTGGTTATGTTATGGTAGAATCTATCATAAGTGGTCGAGTAAAAATGATTATTGTTATAGTCTTTTTACTTTAATTTAATTATAGTGCATTGTTTATATTTTTTTTGTTTATCTTCTATTAGAGGAAACAAAAGCAGAAGGTTGGAGCTATTTCATTTGACAAGAGGAAAATGAATAAGGATATGTGTTTTAGTAACAAAGGCAAAGACAAAGAGAAGGTTGGTGTACCTATTTTTGGAATTACTTTTACTATAATGGAACTCGTTATCATTGGTCAAGTATAAATGATTATTTTTTTTAGTTTTTACGATCTTTTTTCTTCAATTTAATTTTAAGCATTATTTATATATTTTTTTTGTTTATTTGGTATTAGAGAAAGGAAAAGTAGAAGGTCTGGAGCTACTTCCTTTTATAAGAGAAAAAGAAATGATGATATGTCTATGAGTAACAAAGGCAAGAAGAAGAAGAAGGTCAGTGGACCTATTTTTGAAATTACTTCTATTATGGTGGAACTCGTCACCATTGGTCGGTATAAATGATTATTTTTTTAGTTTCTACAATCTTTTTGCTTTAATTTAATTTCATTCATTATTTATATTTATTTGGTATTAGAGAAAGAGAAAGTAGAATTATTTAACAAGAGGAACAAAACAAGGAGATGGAGAAGGTTGATGGACTCGTTTCTAGAATTGGTTTTGTTATGGTGAAACCTGTCACCATCGGTCAAGTATAAATGATATTTTTTTTTATTTTTAATTAGAAATCGATTTGATTGTGGGATTGGTTCTATTATGGTGGAACCAATTATTTGTTTATTTAGAATTGTTTGCTTGATTTTAGAGGAAGGGAAAGTAGAAGATTGGAGCTACATCTATGAAGAGGAAAAAAATGATGATGGACTTATGAATAACGAGAGGTAAGTAGAAGGAGAAGGAAGACGGACAAAGTCAAAAGAAGAAAAAGAATGATGCTAATGTAATAGGGTAGAATAGCAAAGAGAAAGTTATTTTTAATTAGAAATCAAATTGGTCGTGGAATTGGATCTGGAATTAGTTCTATTATGGTGGAACCAATTGTTTGTTTATTTAGAATTGTTTGTTTGGTTTTAGAGGAAGGAAAAGTAGAAGATATAAGCTATATTAACAAAGAGGAAAAAAATGATGATGGATCTATGAGTAACAAAGGCAAGTAAAAGGAGGAGGATGGACAAAGTCAAAAGAAGGAAAAGAATGATGCTGATATAATATGACAAGAATAGTAAGGAGAAGATTGTTGGAAGTTTTGAAAAAATGAGGATAATGACCAGATCAAACTCTCAAAATAAGAGGGTCACAAGAGCAAGTATTAGGGAAAAGAATAGCTAATATTAGCATAGTGTTACTAACTTTTTGAATGTTGCTAAAAAATATGTAATATGTCATGAGTTGATAAAGAATGTTTGATAGTTAAGAATATGTAATTTTTCAACGTATGATGTTTCGGAATACAATCGGTAAAATTTTTTTTATAATTTCTAATAATAGCTCAAAAAAGTATTCTTATTAACTTTTTTATTTTATTTCATGATATGCGGCTAATACTTGTTAAAACTATATATGATCCTTGTATGTGATTAGGAGTTTGGTATAGCTCCTGTTAATGTTGGAGTTTAACAAAAATATAAAATATATTAATTAGTAAGTAATATTTTAAAAGAAATACAATCTCATTGACTATATGCATCCGTAAATTATAGTTCCGAATAAAATTACAAGGTAATGAATATTCGTCCATTCCATATAATCAAACCCAAAATTTTACAATCACGATGACAATCATTGTACAAAATAGCTTGAGAACATTACTAATTCTAGATCTAAACAACATTAAATCAACACAACTCAATATTAGATCTTCGATCTTTAGTAGTAAAACCTCTTTGTCCTTTTATTTTTGTTAATTGTAAGCATTTGTTCTTAATTCTCACGAGTCTCTAATTCAATCAACAATTCTTCATTCTCACTTCTTAACTTAATAATTTCTTCATTCAATCTAACATTCTTCGAAATTTATATTGAGTTCTTAATATATATTTCTTGTTCGTAATTTTATAAATCCAAAATAATAACTTTAGCTCTACGATCTAACTCATCTTGGAACCACACTTTAAAATCTCACCCAACATTTTTTTTACCTTTAGCTTTGAATCGAAGTGCACAAACATAAAATTTTACACTTGGGTGATCATTACTCAAAGACACTCGCCTTACTTGTTTTCATGCTCGTAGTAACACGAAAATGCCTGGTTTGTTCTCATCTAATTGTAATTCTTCATCATTGAGGGCATTAATCAATGAACGCTTGAAAGAGGAAAAAGATGTCGATGATGAAGTCATTCTTTTTAAGAATTGTGATTTGGGAATTAAGGATTACAAAATGGAACATAAGGAGAAAGATAGAGGAAAGGTTAACGCGAATGAGGATTAGGGTTTATAATTGAGAAATTAAGGATTGGGTATGAGATTTTGAAATTTAGGAATTAAGGATTATAAGTTGATTGCAATTAGAGAATGAGGAAAGTGAAAAAAAATCGATGAACCCTTGGAAGATGAAGAGGATGTCGATGACACGAGTCATTCTTTTCTAGAATAACGATTTAGGAATTAGGGATTGGAAAACGCAACGGAATAAGAAAGAGAGAAGAAAGGTTAAAGGGGGAATGAGGATTAGGGTTTATAATTAGGAAACTAAGGAACTGAAAATTGTAAATTGATTGCAATCGGAGGAAAGAGAAAAGAAAAAGCTGAGATGAATGAGAGAGAGAGGGAGGAATTTTTATTTTTAGTGGGTAAGGATAGAATGATATGTTTCTAACCTATTTTTAACTTTATTATTTGTTTAGAAATTTAAAATTCATCGAAATTTTTTTATTTTCGTTAAAACCCAATTTAGATCTACCATGACACGTGGTAAGTTGTTATTAGCTAGAACTTACCTCGTATGCTTACGTGACACATTATGGTCCGAAACAACAACACCATAAAAATAAACTCTTAAATTGAAAAATAATAATTAGGATCTCAATAAAAAAATTTAAATTATACGAGATATCGATATATATAAAACTCAATAATTAATAATATCAATAGAAGCATGGGAACCAAATTAATTTGTTTCAAATTTTGCTACATCAATAGAAAATAACTGGCTTTAATTGTGAATTTTACGCACAAGGCCATGTTTAAAAATGTTTCTGATCATCGGCACAAATCAACAAGTAAAATTTTTCTGATCATATTTGTACTGAATAGTGACATGCATTAATTATTTTAGGCTAGTGGATTAGAAACGAAAGGTAGCTAGCTAGTGGGGACCTTGGACTTAAGCATGTATTAGAGGGATGTTAATTGCTTGTTTGGTGTCCGACGATGCGATACTATTGGTGACGACAACGTTATCATCGAGATTATGAAAAGATATTGCTAATTTTTATATCGAATGCCGACAAATTAGCACGTGTACTTAGACTCATTGGGAGCACTTGCTTGGAAAGAATCCCAAGGAGCCTATATAGGTCAATAATTTGAACGAGTCAATTGGCGTGGAGATAACTATGATTCTTTGTTCAGATCACAGTTCACACCTCAATGCTTACCGTAAGCATCGGTCATTAATTTTTTTTAAAAAAAGGTAAGATCCAAACGCTAAACATGTCAAACCATCCATTGACATATTATATATACTAGACTAAGCAACAAGATCAATCGTTTCCTTATACATTATTTAATTATTAGGGAAAAAAAGTTAGGGTTACAATGCGGTTCTGCCGTGTCCTATATTTAGCTGAGGCCATTTCTCATTGATGAAGTCATGACCATTAGCTAGTGATAGGCTTTGTACAAGAAAGCTTTTATCCCAACTAATTAAACGCGATCAAGTGGAGACGACACTATTAGGAATCACATCAGATCCAATTAATATGAACGAGTGCGCGTACATACACACATATATGTATATTTATATGTGAGCGCAATTAATAATTAATGATAGATTGAAAACATTAAAATTTGTATCCTTGCATAAAAAGAATTCCAAATATAATTAATAAATTAATTAAACTAATTATCTTGGTTAAATTTTTTGGATATTCTTAGATTAATTTAACTGGAGTTAATTATTTGCACTTGATTAAATAAAATAAATAAGCACCTGAAACTATAAACTATGTTTGCACACAATCAAATTCCATTGATAACATACCAAATTTGCTATATATACGAGTAGTATTACTTAAATTTTGCTAGACAATAGACCAAGTAGTATCAGGCACTATATTAATTATTAACAAAAAACAAGTTTATTATGCAAACATGAGATTATATATATAAACTGTATATTGTGTGTGTGGGTGAGAAGATAGCTCAAGGCATGTCTTGCGGGCTAAAGCCCGCAAACAACGGAAGGTGTGGTTTTGTGCTGGGCATATCCAGCGAGTCAGTGTGTAAGTTGCAACGACAAGGTATTTGACATTTTCTCTAGGGGTAAGGGGAGAGGGGTTGACGTTTGATAGAGACATGCGGGGATATGGAGTAGAGATGGTGGATCTTTCAAGGACGGATCGGGTCTAATCAAGCAAAGTCAAGGCTTTGGTTTCTTGTCTTCTCTCTCCGCCTCTTTGTTTGGTTTGAAGGTTACACTCGTGGGTTTGGCTTTTTATGGCATTAAAGTCATATTAGACGTTGTCGTGTGTTTCTGTAAGAGAAAGCAGAGTCTCCGTGACCGTTCGGACCATCTGTTCTCTTGGAGAGAAAAAACTGAGCACTGAACTTCTCTGGTTGCCTAGAATTCGGGGGGCTTTTATATACAGGATTGGGAAGGACAAGTTTGGATGTGTAATGGCAGTAGCTAAGGACTCTTTCTCGGGACCCATGACCTTACCTGCTCGAAACACAAATAATCCTAAACTAGGAATATAATTCCCCACGCGCTATAATTAAGACCATTCCAATCACTCTTCAATCAACTCACAGACCCAAGTTGTACCATCTAAAAATAATCGTAATTACTATATTAATAACTTCACGAATTATATATAACTAGGATATATTTGCCACGAGTGTTAACCTTATTTGGAACCTTTTTTTGGACATTAATAAAAGAATTTATTTATTTTTGTGCACAAATTATGAAAAGAATTCATTTAACTGTTAACAACGTACCATTTATATATATATAACAGACTTCATATTTACCTCGTTTGATTTGAGAATGCATAATCAAAGAAAGAAAGAAGGATGGATTCATCATTTCCTCTTGTCATTCTCTTATTTTAATCCATTCAAAGTACATGATTAGAAGCAAAATTAATTAAGTGGACATCTTTTAATTTTATAATATTTCATCTAAATCCTTTTAAAATTTAAAATACTTAGGAAAATGAAGGTGAACAAATTAAATTAGCGGATGCCCGAAATGTCAGGGCCTGCTCATACAATATGTTTAAGCCAAAGGGAATTTTTTTGCCTTTGTCTTTTTTTTGATAAGTAAGCCAAATGGAACTTGGGCGGGTGGGTGTGGGGCATTGGGTTCTTAAACACCCCCGGGATTTAAGGGTTGGAAAGAGAGCAATTCCCAATGGAAGTGACAGCTGCCTCGTGGCCGAAGCTGTAAGGTGACCTTAAAAACTCCTCTGTTTTTTACTAGGAAATCGCACGTGATCCTCTTCAATTTCTCGCTCTATACAATAATAGCCATCTACTCACTCCCATTTCAAGTTGCAGTCTAACAATACGCACCTTACCATCACCAACATCTATGTAAACAGAGAGAGAAAGAGAAGTGAGAAAGAGGAGGGAGAAGCCCACTTGATTACCATGATCAATAAAGACAACCTAGGCACTGGCAGCTAGGTTGGTGTTTAAGTGATGAAGTGAGTGAGCGATTGATGGCCTCATCGTCTTACATGTGCCAGTGATCAGTTGGTATAAGTTCCGAGGACATTTATCTCTACGTTGAGGTACGTACGTAGGTTTGGTTTATACCCCATACTCAATGTTCAAGATTTTCATCGGTGAACATAAAGAGAGAAAGAGAGAGGAAAAAAAAAAAACCTACTCTAAAAATAAAAATTAGTAAAAAGCAAAGAAGGGGAGAGGGTGATTTGTCAACCAAAATTGCGGAATCCAATCGGTGGAGTAGATTAAAAATTGTAAAAGGAAATTAAAAGGTTCTTGGATAATTAATTATTATAGGTAAGAAAGAGAAACCAAGGCCACTAATTAAAAGTCTTTCCTTCCTATTGCCAATATTTGGGACCAAATTAATCACATGGCAGGAGTTAATTGGATAACAATATCTAACTAGAAGACTTAATTGGAAGATTTGATTGTTGTGAGATTCAATCCAGAATGTGGTAATAGACGTTGAGGAGCATATATAATATTTATTTTCTGTCCTGAAATATTGCGCCGAATAATTGTACTGTAAATGAAAATGATTAATAGAGAAAATGATTATCGCCATTTTATAGTTCAAAATTCAATGACCGTAAACTAAAATATAATAAGTATAATATAAGATCAATTTTCAGAACTTTACCAAACAACTCAAGTTAAATTATAATTAAAGATCGACATATATTTCAATGAATTCCTCCAGCTTGGTTTTAACAAATAGAATCTCATCTTTTATCAAGCCATTTCACAATCCATACATGAAAATGATAGATATGTTACTGCTACTGTTCATTTGTTTGCTATTGATATACCTACCGTATGTCTATTTTGTTGCATACACATTAAAACTAGAAATATGTTACAGAATATATATATACATATGTTTTTTAGTCCCAAACGCCACGCGTAGCTTCGCTTTTTTGTTTTGACAAATTGTTGACAATACTTTATTTGGTTTAGAAATTCAACACTAAAAGATTTTCATTCGCAACTTCAATTGCAATCCAATCATTTACCATTAGAAGATTATAATATTATATGTTTCTTCTTAAAAAAAAAAAAAAGATAAAAGATAAAAAAAATCACATATAAAAATATGTACGACAAGGATGTATGGCCCTTGAGTCTGCGTCGAGGTTTATTACGTGGATCCAAGTATTGGATTTGACGTTTATGATTCGCCCTTTAAAATCCATGCTCTTTTGCAATTCGAAGAAGAAAAACAAAATATTGTTTCTTCTCTTCTTTCTTCTTTTGTAGGTCCTCTTGATGTACGACAAAATAATTGTGAGAAACACGAAATCGCCACCACCCATCTCGCTCGCTACTTATAAAGTACCCTCCAAGAGCCTCCAATTTTTTTAATCTACAATAACAATTTTTGGTATAGAATTATTCTTTGACGAAGGTGTGTCTTTTGTTTTAAAACCGAATTAAACACTTGATGCTTTAAAATAATATTATTTTCCTTCTGAATCAGAGCAAAGTTTCTTATTTAATAGTGTTATATTGTATTGTACTTTGATTATTTTGTTGTATTCCGAATTAAAAGTAGAATTATATTTGATAATTAATTATTATTTTAAGAAAATTGTATTTTTATCTTAAAAAAAAAATTATGGACCCCATTGTTGATTGCCTTGCTGTTAGTCAAAAGTATGGGTCCTTGCTTTGATTAAAATTTCATTTTAAAGTTTCATATACTTTGCTTTCAAAAATTAAACTGGTATAAACTAAATATTACTTTTATACTAATAGCTGCTAAAAACAGTGTTTTAAAAGCACAATAATACCAAACAAAAAATAATTTAACTGAAAAAAGGATAGTCATTTTGAGTCCATATATTTTCTTAAGTAAAAAGATAAATTACGATAATCTTTTTTATGCATTGTGAAATTTTAAATCTCCCTCTATTTCTCACACACAGAACATTTAATTTACTCACACTACAACATAACATAACACAATAATTAAAACATGTGAAAAGAGTGGCAATGAAGCCACGAATAAATACAAAAAAACAAAAAAAACAAAAAAAACAAAACAAAAAATTATGAAAAAGTTAAAATGAATCCCTTCTTATAAGATTTAATTTTTTTTTAAATAGAATTCAAAACTCAACTATTAAATTTAATAAAGTACGACATAACAATATATTCACTTTTTTTTTTTTTTTTATGTAAGGCCTATTTTTTGTTATTGTCTTGTATTATAACTTTGACTTTTGTGCTCCGCAATGAGTTAAAAAAGTAGTATTAGTAAAAACAATACTTATAATTGACTATATTATTTTAGATTTTAATTTTTATTTAAGAAAATAACAAATTCAATAATTTTCTTATAATACAAGGTAATCTTGATATAAGAAAATACTCTATTAAATATCTCTCAAATCTAATTTTCTTGAATATCCTAACAATTATAAACCACAACTACCATTATTTTGGAATGTCAAGTTATGATAATTGTTTTTGTGTAACTGTTTTTTTCCCCATTCTTCTACTCTTGATTTTATATTAATTTTTCCTTTCAAATTTTATTTGTTTTAATATAAAATTTCTAATTCTAAAATTATCATGTCCTTATTTAATTGAAAGTTTTGTTACCAACCAATCACTAAACTCGCTTTATATGTTGGCCTCGTGTGCAAACTTATTTTTATTTAATTTTTCATGTTCCATTTTTTTTTCTTATTCTTCTTTTTCGTCAACCATCTACTCTAATCCTTATTATTCATCATCTCTTATCTCACTACACCAAATGCACTCCACCTAACTTTCCTCCAAACCACCACCAATAACCCTCAAATCTCCAAAATCCTTTATCTTCGGCCACCATTCCCCACAAAACTCAACACTATTACCCAACACCACCATCAACCATCCAATACCAAATTTATTGTCAAATGAGCATGAAAAAAGAGCCAAAGTGGCATGAGCCATCATTAATTTATCGACGAAGGATGAAGTAGTTGCTAAAATAAGAATTGATGGAACAAATTGAAATCCTAGAAAAAAAAGGAAGAAATAATTGTACAAAACTCAAACGATCAATTACGAAAGAAAATAATAACAGAGTTTAACTCAATCCAAAAATTATTTAATAAACAACTACAATAATTGGTTCAGCTCCCACACCATCATAATCTGTACCATCCTTTATTTATCAACCCCGAATTCCCACCACATTAATCCACACACCTAACAAGGCTACTTCTTTACCTTACCATTTTAGATAGTTGAGATTGAATTCCATCTAAAATTGAAATCTTATGATGGACGGTTCCTTCTCAACTTTATATATTATTTATTTTTATTTAATTATTCTATATGGAATATGTTTTCTAATACTTCTTTTGTCATAACCCAAATTTTCTATTTAATTTTTTTATCCCTTTTATCATTTATTTTCTTCTTTTATTTAGTTATTTTACTTGTTATCTTTTTTTTCTATTATTGGAATTTATTGAAGAAAAAAATACCAAAATAAAAAACATAAAAAGAATTTAATTGTTAGGAGCCTAATTGAATCAAATAAAATTACAATTAGAGCAATTGGGGTAAAATTGAAATAATCGAAACTATAGGACTAAAATTACAAGGCATAGGGACTCGATTAAAAAAATAAAAGTTCAAGGACTACAAGGACTTCCTTAAGGATTACAATTGAAACAAATCTAAACCTATAGAGACCTAATTCAAAATTAATAGTAGATGATAGAACCAATTCGGGATCAATATGAACGACTTGTCATCCAACTTGCTCCTAAATTTTAGCCATGGCCTATGTAGGGACAAATCCCCCGCAAATCTTACATCTAATCCCCGTATCCAAATCTCCTACCACTTAACCCTACAACCCCTAGACAATGTAGGTCAACCATGCAACTCCCGCAATCGCCCTTAGGCTCTTGCATTATCCAAGAACCACCGCAAAGCCAAAATTTCCAAAATAGGCAACCAATTAGGCATGCCTTAAATGTTTTTGGCTCCGTTTATACGAAGCCAAAAACTACAATTAATGCCAATTTAAAGGAAATAGCCTTTTTTTAGTATAAATAGAGAAGATAATTGGGATTAGAGGGAAATGAATAGAAAGAATCGAGGGGAATAGAAATGTTTTGAGACTAATTTGAAAACGAAATTAAGGATCGAGTGGAATTTAGAGGTAATTTAGAAGCAGCTTGAGGAAATAATAAGGAATTGAGATATAAGTTTTGATAAGGTAATTTTATGAACCATTAAGATGAGAGAAAAAGAGTGGAGAGTAACGTTTGATCCAAAAAGGATTAGGGAAAAACAATTTTGTTAAGAGAAAAATTAGTCCAAGCCGTGTGAGAAAATGGTGAGTTAGGCAAAGCTTAACCCACGTGAGGCATCGATCCAAGCCCAAGCTCGAAAAAAAAAAAAAAGAAATAGAGAAGTGGAGATGTCTGGCTAGCCTATGGACCGAGGGTCTACTAAGCCCAAAAAAGTCCATTGCCTTAATTTTAATCTTTTTTTTAAGATAAATTGATTCTAAATTTCTTTTATGTATGCATTTTTATTTTCTATTTGATTTAGTTTTAATGTTTTGAATTTGTTTAGTTAATGTTTAATTTTATGATTTATTTTAATAATTAAATTAGATAATTAATAAGTGGATGAAGTTGAGTCTCTTAATTTTTAGGGATTGATGATGATTTTCCATCAATAAAAAAAAAGAAAAAAAAGAAAATAAATATTAAGGAAAATAAAAAATACTAGGAAAAATACTAAAAACTAGAAAAAAAAGCTAAAAAATAGAAAAGAAGAAGAAGAGGAATGCTAAAAAATGGAGGCTAGAAAAAAACAAATAGGAAAAATGAGATTTTAAAAAAATATATATAAAATATTAGTGGAAAAATTAACAAAATCTCCTATCTAATAGGAATTGATCTTAGCCCAAATTGATCAATTAGTAATTAGATTATTTTATGACATTCCAGTTATGTTAAGCTTAAACTCGGATTCGATGTTAGATCGACGTGATGTTCGTTGGAGGAGTCCAACGATTGATTCAATAAGATGCTACAAACAAAACTAAAAAACTTGGTTTTACATAAAGAAATTAAACTTAGAATTTTTTTGAGAACTAAAGTTTGGTAAAAATAAAATTTTTTAAGAGATAAACTTTAGGACTAAACTAAATATGGTACCTTTCCTAAGAAAGAGTGCTTTTGGTTGATTGATATCTTTCCAATAGCATAACCAATTACTTACCCAAGAATCTCCGAATCGGTATCGATTTTAGGTTTTTAGTTCCTTTAATATTAGATGACAACTCAAAAATAACTCATATCTCCCAAAAAAATGAAATTTTCAATTAAAAAAAATAATTTTTAGGAGTTATGCGAACGTTGGGTAATAATAGAATAGTGACTCCATTAGAGACTTAGAGTCGGATCATATGTTTAGTCTATCCAAGGTTTTATCTTCTTTATTTGTTTTGTCATTTATATCCAAGTTTTATATTCCTAAGTATTCATGTATTTAATTTCAAGTTATTTATTTTATGTAATTTATTTTCCTTGTATTTTAATCTTTGTACATATTTATTTTATGAGCTAGGTTAGATATATCTATTTTGTTGTTACACACACCACGAAAAAGACCGTAGAAGCTCTAGACCTAAGCTAAAACCCTATTAGGATTTAGGTAGAGAGATTCGAAGGCAAGTATGATAAAAGTCTAATGATGCTTGTGTGAACTCTCATTTGGACTAGAACTCACCTTATGCATAGGAAATTATGGAATGACCTTCCCATACTTTCTTATGTATAAGGTTAGAGGCTGGATTATCTCATTGACAACCTAGACAATCTAGAGACTTGGAAAGATTTTCGAATTAAACAAGCTTTGCGTAAACCCTAGAAAAGCTAAATCTTATCCATTAGGGTGGATCCGTAAAAATGTAAAATATTTTTACAAGGTTGCTCTATTCTCACCTTATTTTTACAATTTGTCCTCTAAACAAATCATAAAATAGAATGCTATCAAGAATTTTAGGGCTACATCGAATGGGTCCAATTAGAGGAGAGAGATAGTCTAACTTCGAATTTTGAGCCAAAACTGCCAAAAAAGGATGGAACATGCAAGCAATGATTATACCATTGAAAATGAGCTTGCACATGATTTAAAAATATTTATCTAAACCCTAAACAAGCTAGATCCTATCCATTAGGGTGAATCGGTAAAAACGTGAACTATTTTTGGAAGGTTGCTCGTTCTCACCTTATTTTTACAAGTTATTATCTAAAAAAGTCATGGAAGAGAATACTATCAAGAATTTTTAGGC